CTATTTTATTTTCCTCTTGTCTGAATAATTGCTTAAGAAATTATTTTCAAACAAAAATTATCAAAAGTTCACAAGTTCGTTCTGTTGACTTTGGCTGTAATCCATTTAAATGGCTTTACAATTTTTTAGTATTTTTATTTTTTTTCTTTGTATTCCTATAAGTTTTTAAATATGTTAAATTCTGCTTTAATACAATATATATTATATTGCATGATGTTCCTTTAGAGGTTATTGCTTCCACTGCATTCATAGCAGTTTTCACAGTGCACATACATATCATTGCCAAAAATTCACTGGAGGAAAATACATCACGTTTCCATGCACTTTATAAAGATAAATGTTTTATAGATGGAGCTCAGTGTCTGCAGATAAAGGACCTTTGTAAATATTATTCCACATTGACAAAAGCACAAAAAATTACAATGAAATATTAAAATGAAAGCATTACAAGATTAAGGTTATTTATTAATTTTATAAATGAATTTATTTTTTATCACTTAATAAATTATAAAACATGTTTTCAGTTGGTTAAAAAAATATTTATATATACTCGTATGTACATGTTTTGCATTATTCCGAATATATTTTCTAGTACTATATAGTGGTGAAAAACTAATGTTTCAACTATCTATAGTAGACTATTTCGAAGCTAACGATTGTCATCCAATTTCAAACAAAAAAAAAAAAAAAAAATTGAATAAATAAACCTAAGAGGATGTCTATTATAGTTAAGTGGCTTCAAAAGAAAATATGTTTTTTTAAATAAATAACACATCGACTAAAAAGTCTCGAGGCAAAGTTATAAAAACAACTTTGTTCTGGCAATATTCGACTTTATCGGTGTGGTTTTATTACACTCCAGAAGGCAGTGTTGTTCAAGTGTTTTCTTAAAGAGCAGTACAATTTTAGCGCTTCTCTGACATTTCAATACCCCTGTTGTAAAAAGATTATTTATTTGACCTCACAATAGACGTTTATTCCAATAATTAATTCTTCATTGGATCTTTTTCCCTGAAGACATTTTTTAAGGTCTCCTAATAAATGGTGGTCGCTTCACAGTAAATCCCGCGAATTCGGTGAATGCGAATGTGGTCTGCGAACAGATAATAGTCACTGGGGTCAAATCTCGAAAATATAGTCGATGCGAATATGGACTGCAAACATATTGAAGTCGCTGAAAGTCATATCATGCGGAAACGGTGAATGCGAAAGCAATTCGAAGTATACTTCGTTCAATTCCACCAATTTAACAAACAACCTGTAAGACGAAGTATTGAGGTCAAGCACTTTTTTCGTATATATTTATAAAGAGTGTTTTGCGATCTAATGCAATCAAAAACCAATCAAAACAATCAAAAACCATATATAATATTAACTATTGATGGTTTTTCCTTTTTCCATGTAATTGTTGAATATTATATTATACATATTCCAAAATACAAGTATCATTACCTTAGCACCAGCTGTTATGCACTTGGTCACTTTTGGATAGCTTTCAGTGGCTACTGTTCACTCTACCGAATGTCATTTTAACTTTGGAATGTAGTTGTGAGTCCATATTTTATCTATTATTCATTATCCAACGCAGCAGAATATCCGTTAATCCTGCTTTAACAGTTCCAAATAGTTCTGCAGATTGCTATTTTTTAATCAACTGTGAGAATATGTGGATATATTTAAAAAAAAAAACCATCTCATGGGCAAATGTTTATAAAAAATAGAAATCACAACAGCATCATAATAAAATAATAATAATAACATGATAATAATCATCATAACAGAAAGTAACAACGGGCAAAGCGCTAATCTATCTTTTGCTTTATTTTTGGTCAAATTTTTACCGAAATCGCACTTATATTAAAGATGGTTTAAATTATTGGGCTTTTTGTTGGGTTTATAATTAGTAAACTCTGAATATCTATACTTTCACAGCAGGCCAATATTTGAGCTCAAGTGGGTTTTGGACACTTGTATTCTAATTCAACTTTGGCGAATTTAAACTCGGGTTAAGAACAATAGGGAGGATTTGTATGATGAGCAGCATGCTGATCAGTCAAAAGCCTCAGTCAGTCAACATTAATCAACCAAAGATTAGCTGAAATCTTCAGTTAAGTTCATAAGTTTAAATTATACTGGTGAAAATCATATATTTATTACATTTTGGACAAACATTTGGATATTTTGGAGCTTTTTATTAGCGAAAATATAAGAGGTGACCAAAATAATTGGATTTTCTAAATAAATCTGATTCATTGAATATATTTATTTTTATATCCAATTAATTTCTTTGAAAAACGCTATTACTTAAAACCACTTCAGTATTAGTTTTCTTTTTTTAAATTAAAAAAAATCTGCTTTATCTAATCGTATCTTTTCGAATTTAATTTAAATGCGTAAAAAATTTGTTAAAAAAAATTATCTAATATATCTTTCTATTGAAGTATATACCTTCAGTAATCCAATTTACACATACCGTTTTCACTTTAATTTAAGCGTACATAATGCAATTTTACATCGAACTTTTTATGGCTCATCAATCTTCTTTAATTAAATAAATCCGCGTTAGGCAACGCCTAAGACTAAATTATTTCAAATCGTAAGCAAACACACACACATGCATATATGTGAGTATTTTTCCAAACTTTTTTCAAATAAAATATAAAAAAAAGAACATAACAAAAAACACTTAATATCAACAATCAAATAAAATATCGGTACAGCTCGTAACAAAAATCTATAAGAAGGCATACAATTTATACCCAAAACACTTAACGATATGGATATACCATAAAAACGTACTGATACTCGCATATGGAAACCAGCAGTAGTATCGAAATAATATATATTAAGTAAATTTAAGACAAAAATCAAGCAACTCAACGTCAATCAGATTTATTTGACAGTGACATGCCGACATTAATTTTCACAAAACCAACAAAAAAATATTTGCATTAAAAATCTGCGTTGAATCTATGTATCAATGAAGGTAGGCGGGTATACAAGACATTAACAGCTGAGGATGTACGCTAAGGTTCTTATATGGTATACAAATTTTGATATGTAAATATGTATGTATAAGTGAACGACAAGATTTTTCTTAAGATTTTTTTTTAAAGAGTCTGCAAGGAGTTAAATTGTTACACACTTGAGTATTTTATACTTTTCTTATGGTTTATGTATATAACATAAGTTTATAATAAAGTTATGCATTATATATAATATGTGGTACTATTAAAGTCGTGTGCGAGTTCGAGTAAATTGAGATAAGGTAAATTGAAACTTCCTAGGGATTCTAGGGATCTTATGTAAATATTTACTTATTTATTTATTGCACTTATTTATTATTTTTGGTTGAAAGTTTTCAAATTTATTTATTTATATATTAAACATCTTATAAAATTTTTACAATCGTAATACCTAGTTTACCTAATTTTTATTTAATTTACCCCACTCGAAATTCTGGTAAATACCAGTATTCGCTGCCATACCGACATAATTTACTATTTCCTTTAATTTACCATTAACTTACTCAAACTCATACAGGACCCAGGTTTTGATATTACAATATTTAATATTAGTTTCTGAAAAATACTTAAAAATGGGTAAGTTTATTTGTTATTATCAAATTTTGAATAATATTTAAAAAGTGGATAGGTGTTTTGAGAGACCGTTCGCTACTTTATTTATTATTATTAAATTTTGAAAAATATTTAGAAAATGGAGACCGTTCCCTACTTTATTTATTATTATTAAATTTTGAGAAACCGTTCTCTACTTTATTTATTAATACTAAATTTTGGAAAGACCGTTCCCTACTTTATTTATTATTATTAAATTTTGAATAATATTTAAAAAGTGGATAAGTATGCTAGAAGACTGTTTCCTACTTTATTTATTATTATTAAATTTTGAGAAGACCATTCCCTACTTTATTTATTATTATTAAATTTTGATTAATATCTAAAAACTGGATAGGTATGTTAAAAGACGTTCCCAACTTTAATTGTTATTATTAAATTTTGAATAATATTTAAATAGTGGATAAGTACGTTAGGAGACCGTTCCCTACTTTATTTATTATTATCAAATTTTGAATAATATTTAAAATTTGGATAGGTGTGTTAGGGGACCGTTACATACTTTATTTATTATTATTAAATTTTGAATAATATTTAAAAAGTAGATAGGTGTGTTAGGAGACCGTTTTCTACTTTATTTATTATTATCAAATTTTGAATAATATTTTAAAAAGTGGATAGGTGTGTTAGGGAACCGTTACATATTTTATTTATTATTTTAAATTTTAAATAATATTTAAAAAGTGGATAGGTGTGTTAGAAGACTGTTCCCTACTTTATTTATTATTATTAAATTTTGAGAAGACCGTTCCCTACTTTATTTATTATTATTAAATTTTGAATAATATTTAAAAAGTGGATAGGTATGTTGAGAGACCGTTTCCTACTTTATTTATTATTACTCAATTTTGAGTTATATTTAAAAAGTGAACAGGTATGTTAGGAAACTGTTATTCACACTATTTATTACTCATTTTTGATTAATATTTAAAACGTGGGTAGATATACTATATTAAGAGCCTATTAAATAAAATTAACGTGCTTAAGCTATAATAAGTTGTTTTTTTTGTGTTGTTTATATATATGTTAAACATATATCTAGGTATATATCCATATATTATTTAATTTATGCACGACACTTATAACACTTGATATAATGCCATTTGGCATAATTACGCACACACTTTGTATGAAAACCTTGAGTTTGTCAGACTTCGCCGCTTGCCCTCATAAATATGCAACATTTCTTGTTATGTTAAGTGATGCCATGGTATGAGCCTTTGCCTTAATTCGAAGTGACTACGCTTTTTACACTTCACTTTCTGTGGTGTCTGGAATTTAGTATAAAAGCTGCTACCGCAAAGGAAGTAGTCAACAGTTTTAATTCTGTATTGCAACTAACAACTCATTGAGTTAATAATATTTTGTTAAAAAGAAAAATATAATATATAAAATGTCAAATAAAAGTTTGTTAAAATTTTCGTGCTCATTAATAATTTTACTTGTTATCTTGGATCAAAGCATTGCTGCAAACCGTCTTTGTGGAAATGCGTTAACACAAGCTTTGGATTCAATTTGCGTAAACGGATTCAATCGCAAAGAAATCAAGAGATCAAGTAAGTTGGAAAGTCAATAAGTTCTGAGAGTTTAAGAGGATATAATAGAAGTAATCATTAGAAAATCAAAATATGTATTAACAATTTTATTGAAAAATCTTTAGCACAGAATTAATCAACAATAAAATTTGTTTGCTGCTTTTATAATGATTGCGAAAATTATTAAAATTTAAACACTCAGAAAAACCAATTAAGTTCTTAACTTTTATAAAAAAACTACTCTAAAGAAATGACTCTATTTGCTGTTTAATTTATAATATTTGTTTTCGCCTTAGTGGACTTGGACGATTATGCATACAATGAAGCTGAAGATGATTTGCCATATCCTTATGCCAGCTCGCCTTTTCTTTCCAAGGTGCATGGCGGTAACGCTAATTTAATGTCCAAATCTCGAAGGCGTCGTCATGGCGTTTATTATGAATGTTGTCTCAAAGCCTGCACATATTCTGAGCTCACCTCCTACTGTCTTTAAATTATAAATGAAATTTTCGCAAGCTATCTAATATAAACTAAAGATATTCATATTGTTTATTTAGTGAATAAGATTGTTAAATTTTCTTTGCCTCATTTTTGATATGCCCGACAAGATCAGTTACTATTTTTTTTTTTTGCAATTATATATTTCTATTAAAACTAATATTTATATTATATTATATGCGTGTCTAGTATTATATGAAAATTGTTATAAAAGAAGAAAAAAAATTATTAATGTGTTTCGCAAATAACTAGAAATGTACAAAATTCATATAAATACTAATATATGAAGATTTTAACACATAAACATTTTTAAATGTATATATATATGAGATTACAAATAATATATTGAATAAAATGCATTTTGTGAGTTGCTCACCTTTGCAACTATAATTCTTGTTTATTTATTTTAAAATATTTATACTTTTTTATACTTTTTTAACATCTACACCGAACTGTTTTTAACTCTTTTCAATGGCAAATAAAATAAAATTCATGAATATATCTCATTTACCTATAGCACTCGCATTGTTACATTTTTTGCACGTAGGTAAACATTTCTGTACTCTTACATTGTAATCCTTTTAATCCTTTCTACCTGTAACTATCAATGTGGAGCATATATGAATGCAACATTTTTTATGTTCGACAAATTGAAAGCGGCTTAATATCCAATTAAAGACTACATAGTAAAAGTATTTGTATCTGTTGTGAATGCACATTCCGTATTTACACTGTATTTCAATTGCATATTGCATTACCACTGCAATAGTACTTTTTTTTTTTTTGTGTTTGAGTAAAATAATTTACATACTCCATACGGTTTTTCCCCTAAAATTTTTACTCTATGAATTTTATCTCCTCCTGTTCTTACTGTTGATTTTTACTGGCTTTTACTGGAACATTTTTACTGGCTTTTTTATTTTTGTTGTTATTGTTGTTGCATATACATTTATCTCAACTGGCCGTACATTCTTCTTAACAGATTGCTAAGATTAATTTTGCACTTATTGGCTACTATAGAGTTTTGTTCCATATTTTTTATGGTCTTAAGCATCTATTGTTGCTTTTAGTCCTTGCGTGGTGTTGTTGAAAGCAAAATGTCAGTGTTGACAGTTCAGCTTTGGTAGTGGATGGACATTCTCCACATTGTATTTAAAATAGTTGCGTTCATTCCTTCTACTCACTTAATTTTGTTTGACATGAAATTGCTATTATCCTTTTGCATATGAGAAATAGTTTTTAGTCTGAAAAGTGCAAAAAGAAAAGATAAAAAATCTATGAGATGAGATAATTAAAAATTTAATTAAAATTTTTTTAATAACTCGTCGGTATTTGAAATAATTTAAATTCTTAAATGCACTCGTGAAAGTATCTTCTTACGGGGTAACTTTTTTTTTTCTGTTCATGCAAATTAAATATAATATGAAATTTAGTACCAAAGTATGAAGAAAGATTAACTAGTTATCCTTATGAACATTTTTGAAATCCTTAGTATATATTTGACATATACATATTTAAAGAAATTAAGGATATACATTACCTTTTTATTTGTTTATAAATCTGTAATCATTGACACATGATAAATATTTAATATTAAACTTAATTTTAACGTCAAAATGACGGTAGTGCATATTTTACTTAATAATTCTTCTTCTTGAGTTAGTGCTATTATGCACTTTTACTCTATAATGGCTGGGGGGCTTATCTCTACCCCACACTAGACTTTAACTAGGCTAAGAAATCATATCATTTATTTGTCTTTTAGTTGATGACGGACCTTAAATCAGCATATCTTCCTGAGAGTCCAGAAGAGGACTTGAGGATTGTTAGGGCGGGGTTAAGTAGCGTATCAACTTTAGTGAATAATTTTAGAGCTCTGTCTCTGATATATTTTTTCACTGAGTCAATCCTAAGAAACTATAGTATTTAATTGAAAAGTACTTAGTTGCGAACTACAACAACAAAAAGTCTTTTTATATTATTATAATTATTTTAATTTTTGGCTGAACATCAAACTGTATGTCAAATACCCAACATCTGTGGTCCTGGAATTTTTTCCTATCTTTAATTATTCGTAAATAATTTTTTAAGATTGCACGTACCAAGAATTTAACTCGTATCCTGCCAAATTTAAAGCTCAGAGTCAGCGTACTCAAAGCCGCACTTGACTTGTATGTTCACACTTGGAGTTTTATTGATTTACATGAAACTTCATTAAAGAGTTCCCTGCAGAATTATTCCTGCAGAATTATTCAATTAATTAATCATATTTATATTTTTAATTATTAAACTTCAATACTATAAAAATATATCAAATAATATAAATATAATTTTTGTTGTTGTATCTCACTACTTTTCGAAACTTCTCCATAAATATTTAATTGTATATTTAATAATAAATATTTAATAAAATTGTAGTAAAAAATTATCTTAATAAAATTAATAAAATAAAATAAAAAAATTAATAAAATAAAATAATAAAATTAATTTCAAAAAATAATAAAATTTCATATCCAGATCTATATTCATCCTATAGTTTAGCATGTGTTGCGACTGAAAAGAGTGAAGTCTAACTCAGTTCTTAGTTGGACTACATTTCATTTAATATGATCAATTCAATATTCAATACAGTTAATCCTCTGGTTTCCAAGCATACTTTAAGGCAGTTTACAATTAATGTGCTGTGATAGTGTCAATAAAAATTAGAGTTACACCATAAACGACTTAATATTTTGTGAAACCCCCAAATTTTAAATATTTCATGTTGAAGTTGATAATTATTATATACTAACTAACTATAACTATTATAGTTTACTATTGCAGATTATTTCTTCTTAAAATATACTTGGCGTGAGAATATTTCATATACTTTCTTTCCTATTAACCCTCCCCACTGACAAATTAACTTAACAGATGTAACCAATATTTGATTTGCCTGTAGGAATAAATGGAAATTCTCAAATAATTACAATAAAATCTATATCGCTATTAACAATCCGGGATGTAATAGTATAAATTACTGTGTTTATAGAACCATAGAAATAATGGTAATGAACCGGTGAATTGTAAATTTTAATCAAAATTTATATTAAACTTGGAGCCATATACTTAAATTGTAATATAAAGTTATTTATAAACAATTTCGCATTTAATTAGTGCAAATATGAAGCACAATCATGCTCTTATACTCAATATATTTACTTGAATGAGTTGTGTTGATGTTGTACATTAAATGCCGTTATTTTCCATTCCGAAATATATGCCAAAAAAGCAAGTCAAAATTTTTTATTATATATTAACTACGTACATATATTTGCATTTAAGTGTTTAAAATGAATCATAAGTAATATAATTTCTCTTCAACTACGGTTTTAAATTTTAATTCCTATACTGTAAAAAATACTGGGAATAAATGAATTGAAGCCGTTTTAAAAAAATTTGAGTTAGTAAGTAGATACAATTATTACCTATTCATAATCACACTTATACCTTCAGTGGGTTTATAAATCATACTAATGAAATCATTGAGGCAGACGAAACCTAAAGTGTTTACCTTTTATTCTAGTAATATATTAAATGATGGCACGATGAAATTAAATAAAGAAACTACTCTTCCAAAACAACTTTTCAAGACCTCAAAGTGGGTAGAATTTTTTTGGTCAAGATCATAGTATATTGAAAAAAAATTGACAATATTGAAGAACATTACGGAGGTAATCAAAAAAATCATGTCAGCACCTGAGTAATTTGAAAAGGCGAGGTTCGAATTGAATGAAATCCGCAACGCAGTCGAATATAAATGGCTGCTTAGCAGAATATAACGAATACTGCCATAGAATGAATGTTCAAAAACAATTTTTAAGTAACCTGATGACACACGATACAAAATCAGACGAATAAGATGGTTGTGAAATGATCTTGAAGAACCACTGCCGTGTGATATAGTGCATTATCTTAGTGCTAAAACCGAAGTAACTGTCCGAAATTGTAATCTTGTTTTAAGAAGAGGAACACGTTTATGTGAAGCAAAAGTCACAAAACACTTAAATTATATATTGTTAGCTAATAATGACCCAGCGGAAAGAGATTATAATATATAGCCACGCAATAATCAAAGAAAACTGCTAACATGAACTTGATTTTTGAACAACTTCGGTGCTATGTTTTTTGATCTGTTGATTTGTTGTTTGTCAGTCGTATAGATGGATATAAGTTTTGTCTCCACCAGTAATATGTATCATTTTACACGAATTGTCATAAAAGATTGTTTGACAAATTTCAAAACAGCACTATTTTTCCAATAAGTTAAGAGTTTTTTCCACTTTCACTCCATGAGATTTCTCTCCTTTTAGACACAAAATATCTTTGAAAAAATATCTATATTATGACATAAAATCTCTGATTTATGTGTTTTTCATCTGTTATTATGTTGAAGCTGTTTTGAGCTAGTGCACTTAAGCACTTATACTCTTTCTTAACTCGACGTATTTTCAAAACCCCTCTTTACACCTTGACTAGATTATTGTTTATCACTTCATCAGACTAAGCAATAATAGACCTCAGATCTGCATACCTCCTCGAGGAGCCTGTAACCATTTTGAGATTTGATAACGCGGTGTTGGTAAGTTTGTCAGTTTTCGCAAATAATTTCAGGGATATGGATAATCGTCAATGACAGGTTTCATCTATAAACCGTTGTCTGTGTTCTTAGAAGTATATACCGTTACTAAACAAATTTTAATCTGGTCAACATAGATCTTAAAATTGCAAATTTAATATTTATATAAGAAATAATTACACTTGGGGTTCATAAAAATTACCAAATCTTTCATTTCCTTAACATATTGTGTATTAGGGAATATTTACGGTTATTTAAAAAAATTTTTTTTAACTTATTGATGTTCTTCCACAGGATACTCTAATTATTGAGTGTCTAATTATAATCAGCGGGTTCTCCAATCAACAATTGGCGATATGCAAACATCAAGTCTTATATATCCTTGACATGTTTTGCATCTTACTGCTATACTCTTCTCCCAGTTTAACATAGGGCCTCAACAATCTCTCTAAATTTCACTCTATTGTTTGCTTCTCTGCATATTTTGTTCCCCAAATAACCCATCTTATTTAGTTCGCCTTCAACAGTTCATCGCCAAGTTTTGGTGGGGGCACCAGGACGGTGAAATCTTTGGGGATACCACCTCATCGTTTATGCCCTATTCACTTCCATTCATGTTTTTTAAATTCAGTACTCACATATACTTGGGAACATGGGAATTTAAGCTAGAAAAATTAACACCTTAATCTTCGTTTTTGATTAGAGTAGTAAATGTATTGAAATATTCCAATACTTAAAGAATAAACTCATAGTTATTATAAATGCTTTATTAAATTTTATTAAAATCAAAGTAATACATAAATTGATAAGTAAAATAATGAATAAGATAATATATGTCTCCATTTATAGGAATATAAAACTTAAAACTATGAGTAATAATATTTAATTTTTATTGTTGTAAGAAATTATTTTTCACTATAAGGGTATGAAAAATATTGTATGTATTCCGATTAAATGCTTTGGAAAATAAAACGAAACGTCTTGCTTATAAAATAGATGCAAAATGTTAAGTGTATTCAAATAGTCAAATTATATAAAACTCTTTATATTTGAAAATATATAATTTGTATAAAACGTTCAAAATATTATGAAACTAATTTTTAATGCAATATTGGCTAATATCAGACCAACGACAGCCAGTATAGCAGCAGTGACGTACTATACCAGAATCCTCTTCATCGGGATTAGTTTCAATTTTGGTTTCTTCCTTTTCATCCTCATCGTTATAAGACAATAATAAATCGAGTAAATATTTATAATTGTTACGCCTTTTCTCGGACGGATCCATATCACTTGAAGTTATCACTAAAAATAAAAAAAACAGTATTATTATTCTAAATTATTATTCCCACCTCAGTTACGATTGCAAATATTTACTATTATTTTTATATGTTTATATGTTTTTACTACATTATTTGAAACTTTATAAATTACCATTATCAACTTACAAAAACGTCTGAACCGGGATTGAAATCCTCTTGCGCAAACTATTTCTAATATATCGTTTAAGGCTTCACCACAGAATTTCGGTTTGGCTCTTCCAGCTGAGGTTTCGACGACAATGTAAAGCATGAATACGATCAGTACCATATGCAAATTGAAAATCGAACCGCGGATTTTACCGGATATCATCGCTTTATCTGATTCGTTGTTGTCTGCCGTTGAAATGCAAATACCGAATAAAGCTCTTTGTACACCAGACAAAACCTTTTATAGATCCAATTCCGTGCATAGCATGTTTGTTGTTGCTATTTTATTGAGGCGTATAAAATTATACAGGTAGTTTTGACTATTTGCCAAATGCGATTGGCGCATTCCTGTGCATAATTTGAAATAAAATTTCATTTCGGAATTTTAAGGGTGAAATAGGATTTTCTTTTTATTACACAAAATTCCAATATTTTGCGCATCTGCAAATATTTTCCATTGCATTTTTTATATCAATTGAGTGGTTTTTCTCGCTTCTCCTATTAGCCATACACATAAACATAAACAAAATGTTATGCATTGTTTCAGATATGTAAGATACGCTAAACTGATTTGAAATCTTCTTAAAATGTTGCTTTTATACAAATTTTTTGCATGCGGAATGTATGGAAAATTTGCATTGGAATTTCGGTTGCATTTAAAGCGCATTTGAATCTCATTTGTACGTTGGTATGTTCCTATTTCAGTGAAAATTCTGTTTACCTGAAATAAAACAAAATAAAATATAGGGAAGCGTGTTGTTTATTGGTTTTGTTTGTATTTACAATTTGTAAATAATTCTCAACTTCAAAGTGGTACTAGACACTTCATGTGATTACTACTATAAGTGGCTTTTGTATTTAGGACAAAAATCTACATGGTCACATTATAAATGGATAATTTTGTGTGGAAGGATGCATTGTTTGTCGATAATGCATAATTTTGTATCTCAAATCATAGCTTCTTGCCGATTTCTAAAGATAAAATAATTCCATAAATAATCATCTTTACCCTTGTCAACAAATTGTTAGACCATTTGCCTTCATATTAGTACTTCACAGTATTAAGATACAAAAATGTATAAGTCAGAGTATTTTCAAAGTAGTTTTCTCTGGTCTTCCCAAAAAACTCATGGTAATAACCAAATGTGTCTGATTTAAACTGTACATAATATAGATTTAATTTAAGCATATTGTTTATAATCAAAAATTAAAGTGTAAGTTCGGTTTTGGGAAGCATAAGAAAGGATATTCGGCATATATATAGATATATTTACATAACACCAGATCTTATTCTTCACTCCAACTAATTTAATCGTTGTGTCTTCCCTAGCTTCAGCCTTAAGTAAAGAAGAGCATAATTGATACATAACAGCGGTGGCGAACCTTTTTATAAGTACGTTATTATTAATATTTTATAGTTATTATATTATTATATTGTATATTATATAAAAAATAAAATTTTTGCTGTTGTAGTTCACTACTATTCGAAAAATCGCTTTATAGATATTATATATATATAAATATTTATATTATTATTGCCTTACTTTATGTTGTTGTACTTCTGTCATGATACTTTTGAGTTTGATATAAATAAAATTTGTTTCAAGAAGCGAAACACAAGCTTAGTTTCTTTGGAAAAGACGTGCCATCGCTATGGTCTGGTATTAATAAATTATTTTGGAAAAAAAAGCATATCACATTTCGAACCATAAAGGCATACGTACAAATTAGTGTAGCATGCGTGCCACAGAAAGTTTCATACGGGCTATGTTACCTATGGTACACGTGCCATAGGTTCGCTATCGCTGATCTATTGAACTATAGAAATAAAAATTTATTGAACTCACTTACATATTTAAAACGTTATAACGACATTTGAACAAAAAAAAAATTTTAGGTATTATTGTTGATAGAAAACTTAGTTGAAAGAAAAGTATTTTTGAGCGAACTAAGAAAACCAACATTGATGGGGTTGTTTTTATGTCAGAGAGCTATTGGTGAAAGGTGGGGATTACAACCAACTATTACTCAGGGGCAATACACGGCTGTCATTAGACCAATAATTTGGAATGGCATCACCATATGCATACTTTATTTATAATTTATAGATATATATATAATATAATTTATTAATAATAATATAATAATTAATAATTTTTTAAATAATAATATATATATATAATATATATAATTTATAGTTATCGCATAACATATTTAATAATATTAATTTCAATTGCATTATGGAAATTAACTTTTTTTACATTCTGAGAAATCTAAAAAATAATAATCAAACTTGAGATTTGAATGGAGATAATTCCGAGCAGTTTTGACTCGTTTGTTAAAAACACGAGAAGTCATTGTTTTCAATCTGACAGAGTTAAAGTTCTAAGTCTAGCATTTATTGTCAAAGAAATTTATACGGACCTATTAAACCAATTAGTTAACGAATCACAAAAGTTAGTCTTATAGTGAACACAGCAAAGACAAACGCAATGAAGATAAACAATTCTACCTGCAAATTCAACCTGGAACGATACAGAAATCGATAACGTCAACAGCTTTACATACTTAGGCAGTATAATATCACCGGACGGTGGCGTGGCAGTCGACATCCAAAGCCGAATTAACAAGGCATGCTCCGCCTTTTCGTTACTGAATAAAGTT